GACTATGCATTAGGCGAAGCGGCATAATGCTCACAGCGGAACCCGGATCTACTTGGATTCGGTTGACCTTGCTGGAACCAATGTACCCGACAAAATATAATGGCCGATCATGGTTTGAATTCTTCGTCTGCATGTCTTTGGTGAAGGTGATGCAGGGAATGTTCTTAGCTGCCACATTGCACTGTTGAGCTAATAGTTCTAGTTCCTCAGGTGCCGGTTTGATACGAGTGAGGAATGCTTCTGAATCGGCCAAGGCTTCTTGCAATGCTTCTCTAGTTTCTTTAGACAGACGCAACAATTCATATAGCGTTATCCGCGCTGGAATATTGGCTAGCTGAGCCATGATGTCAAAGGCACGTGGAGTTTTCGAACTCTCCGGTTTATCCTTTCCAATCGGACGATTGAAACGAGACTGCTTCGGATTTTGACCCTCCTCGGGCCTCTTTTCTTTATGTTTATCTACCGGCTGTCGTAGAGTTTCTTTACCCGGCGTGGGACTCGTAATCACCCCCATTTCTGTGAGAGTTTTGGTTGGTCCCCGTTTGTTCACCCCCTGCTCACTAGGTGGCGGATAATTGTAGTGATACTCATTTCGTTCACCCCCTGCTCACTAGGTGGCGGATAATTGTAGTGGTATTCATTTCCGCTCCGTGTCGCAAAAGCTTCTTGTTCTTCTTCAGAGAGCGGGAAAGTGGGGATTCTTTCGTCATCTTCCCCTGGGATAGCAGAGACTCCATAACAAGACTTCCCTTTTCCTTTAGACTTCCTCCCGGATGACGAACCGGCCCATTGTTCATCTCCAATCAGATCTGGATGAACCCAAAGGATTTCGCCATTTGGGGTTGTGTGCGGCACAAGTCCCTTTTGGCGCTGTCCGTGCGGGTCGTCATTCACCGTCTTCATCCCGACTTTGGTGACGCGTTTTGGCTCGAACCAAGTTGTAGGCACCGACCCAAAACTGATTGACACTGCGTTGGCCCCCACATTCTTGGCTGGTTTCGGGGTTATGACTCCTACGTCGATTAACGCCTGGATCTTGTCCTTGAGGTGGTAGCATGATCTCGTAGGGTGGTGGACCGCTCTGTGGTACGCGCAGTACTTTGGATCCGTCACTTTGCTGGCCCCTTCTTGATCCACGATCGCCGGCAACTGGATCTTGTTGTTCTCCAACAGGTATTTGAAGATGCCGGGAACTTCATCATCCTTGAAGGAGTACACTTTAGGAAACCTCGGCTCCGCAGATTTCTGCTTCTGAGGCCGTTGTTGCCATTGTCCTCGAGATTGTTGGGGTGCTTGTTGCTGTGGCTGCTGTTGCTGTGGTTGCAATTGAAAGGTTTGATTAGCATCAACTGCATTAGCTTGTGCCTTACCTTTCCCCCGTGGGACGAAGTTTTGCTTTGGAGCACTTGTCGCCGGTTGGCCTCTTTCCGCCTTCTTCCTCTTGAGGAATCGCTCAGCTTGCTCTCCCCGGACTTTCAAGTCCTTCCATGTATTGGATGGTGCTGTCCCCATTGCTTCTAGCACGTCCAACGCGAGGTTGTTGTGGCAGGTCTGGAGGATGAATTCCTCGGTGATCGGGTCCCGGCAATTCATCGCCTTGTTCCGGAACCTTTTGACGAAGGTGTCGACTAACTCCCCGTCTTTTTGCTTCTCATCGAGCAGCGATCCGATAGATATCTCGGTGTCGTCGTCGAAGAAGTTGGCCAGGAACTTGGTCTCCATGTCATCCCAGCTGTTTACGCTGCCTGGCTTGAGGCGGCGATACCAATCGAAGGCGGCTCCGCGAAGAGTGCCGACGAATGACCGCACCATCAGAGGCTCATTACCAGAGATCACCCCCAAATGCGATTTGAAGTAAATCAAATGCTGGGTAGGTGAACCCATCCCATTAAACGGCGTGAAGTTAATTAGATTAAACTTCGCCGGATATGGGATCGATTCCCATTCTCTTGGGTATGGGCAAGGAATGCCTGTTTTCTTCGTCTCTTGAGCGGAAATTAGTGTGTTGATTTTGCTCTCGAGGTTCTTGATCTTCAGGTTTTCGCCGGTTTCTTCGCCAGCATTCTCATTACCACCCCCTGCGTTGACGGGAGGATCATTGGTGTTACGAGCATTTGTATCCTCATCTTCCACATTAATCGGGTTACGATGATTCTGCTCGCCTTGTTGGTTCGCCAATGCTTGGATCTGTTGGTCATGCATTTCTCTCATCTGCTGCATGGCCATCTCCATCTCAAATTTGAAACTTTCTTTCTGCTTAGCCAAAGCGTCTTCAAGCATCTTGGCCATCTGCTCCGCACTTATCATCAGGGCCTCGCGGGGTTGTCCCTCGCTGGATACTGTATTATCTGATGCCACCGCGGAGCCGGCATCAGATTCTTCATCTTCTGAAGGGCGTCTTGTCCGAATCCTACCATAAGTTGCTCGCTCTATGGTTCCGGACTGCAGACGGGTTCTAGGTCGGGAAGCTTTCAGAATCGACTCGAAATCTTCTCGTGCCGATGTCCCTTTGCTCGTCATGTTGGTGGTGACCCTCGGAAATTCTCCGTCTTCAATCACCCTTCTTCTTCGTTGGAAGCGCCTAGGCCTTGGTTTTGGCGTTTCCGCATTAAGTCTTTCAAAAACTGAAACTCTTTCGGGGACCGCCTTAATGCAATTGCATTCCGACAATACCGCCCGAATGAGTTTGGAACAGGGACATTGAATTTCCCGTTCTCGGGGACTCCTCTTCCTGGTTCTATTCGTACCCCCAGCACGATAGTACAACTCGTCATTTTGACAGTCAGAGTAACCTATCGTGTGCGGGCACGCCTTCTCAGGTACAACACAATCATTATCAGATGATAATGTTTCCATCTGAGGTTGACTTGCCTTCTTTGGGCTTTCAAAGGTTACCCGCCTCAAAACA